GAATAACATAGAACAGGAATAACAACAAGATTAAGTGAACATGAATAAGAAAACAAGTATAACAGGACAAGAACAATAAGAATACGGAACAAGAACAAGACTAACATAACAAGAACAACAAAAATAACACAATAAGAATAACAGAACAATAACAAGAATAACAGAAGATTAATAACAAAAATACTGTACGTGACCAAGAGTAATTCATAACAAAAATAACAAGAACAAAATTAACAAAAAATAACAATAGAACAAAAATAACATAAGAAAATAATTGATAACAAGCATAACATAAAGTATCACAAATCCGTATAACTGAAAAATCCGGATAACTAAGAAAGAAAGAAGTCCGGATATGGGAGGTGTCCAAGTGAATGATAAAACCGGATTAAAAACCATTATTTGTGTATGAGAAATTAGGTTGGAAAAGAAGTACAGATTACTGAAGGATTTGAAGAACCGGACAGCTCAGATAACAGGAGAATTCAGATAACAAAAGAAGAGTCCGGATAAAGTGAAAGATTTTGAATATAGGAAGAGTCTATATAAGCATATTATCCGGAAAATTAAAGATCTGGATAATCGAACATTCAGAATAACCGAAAATCTTTATAAATGTAAAAGCCGTGTAAACGAAAGGTCCGGTTAACTGAAGTCCATATAGCCGAAAAATCTATATAAACGGAAAATTCATATAACCACAAAGTCCTTATAAACAAGAAGTCCGGATAAACAAAAATTCCAGATAACAGGAAATCGGATAACAGAAAACTCCAGATTACAGAAAATTTTGGATAAACTGGAAGTCCACAAAACAGAAAAGTCCAGATAAACGAAAAGTCCATATACCAGACAATCGGATAACAGAAAAGTCCAGATAACGGAAAGATCCGGATAACCGAAAGGTCCGGATAAAGGTAAAAATTCGGATAAAGACGAAAATTCGGATAAAGATGGCAACAGACAAGATCCAGCGGACACTGGCCATGATCAAGCCGGATGCGATCGACAACTCGCCTGATATCGAGAAGGTTATCATGGACGAAGGCTTCACAGTGGTCGAGGTAAGGCTTCCCTCAAGGCTTCTTTTAAACCTCTTCTCTTAGTTTTGTTTCTTTGTTTAACCTTCCTAGTAGCTTCTGTTTGTGTGTTTGTTTAACCTTCCTAGTAGCTTCTGTTTGTTTCTTTGTTTAATCTTCCTAGTAGCTTCTGTTTGTTTGTTTGTTTAACCTTCCTAGTAGCTTCTGTTTATTTGTTTGTTTAATCTTCCTAGTAGCTTCTGTTTGTTAGCTTCTCTTTGTTTGTTTGTTTAACTTTCCTCATCAACTACCCTTTTTTGTTTGTTTGTTTGTTTAACCTTCCTAGTCAGTTTATATTTGTTTGTTTGGTTAACTTTCTTCATAAACTACTTTTTATTTCTTTGTTAACTTCTCTTTGTTTGTTTGTTTTGTCTGTTTGTTTAAGAATTCAAGCTTCAGTTTTTTTTCATTATTTGGATAAGCTTAACTTTTTAATTGTAGTTTAAGCTTCACTTCTGCTGTTCAAGGTTGTTAATTTAAGCTTTACTTTTGTTGTCTGTTGTTAATTTAACTTTTACTTCTGTTTGTTGTTAGTTTAAGCTTTATTTCTGTTGTTAATTTAAGTTTTACTTCTGTTGCTGGTCGTTAGTTTAAGCTTGGGCATATGTTGCCTGTAGTTAAAGCTTCAACGCTTATTCTGCCACTGGTTCAGATTTCACACACACACACACACACACACACACACACACACACATACACACATACATATTATTATTAATGACACAGCCACACACACACACACACACACACACACACACAATAATAAATAACAGTAAAAATAGCTTTCCGTTCCCCTTAAGTCTCAGATTACACACACACACACACACGCACACCAATTCCCCAACCACCAATCCCTCGCCTAACAACTCTAATTTTCTAATCACCACCTGCGGGCCTGTTAGCTGATTAACATATAATCCTCAGTCTGCTGGTCTGCCTAATCACGCTCGAATCGACTTTGTGTATGAAGGTCGTGGGTCACTATAGACAGTCTCATGGTAAATATTGTTGTCGTAAATAGCGCTGTAAAGATGTATCTATCAGTTTGACTTAAGATAAATAACAAAAAAATCACACAATTACACTGAGATTTTACCTTGATTATATACGTTGATGTCCTAATGGTAACTGTATTTAAAGGGTACCTGTCCTAATCGGCCCTTGTCCTAATAGACCCTCAATCAGAACTAATCATTAAGATTGTCTCTAATTCCTAATGGGGACCCGCTAATTCTAATGGGTCCTTTTTAATGTTATTCTAATTTTATTTATCCTTAATTCTAATCTCTATCTATATTCACCATTACCCTACCTTACCACACCACACCACACCACACCACACCACACCACACCATATCCTTCTACCCATACCCACCATCACCCTACCACACCACACCTTCCCATAACAATCCCCTAATTAACACACCTGCGTGACGTAACTAATTAACCTGTGACCTGTAATGATCTCGCGTGTTCCCCCTCCCCCCTTACACCTTCTTAGCGGAGGAGGGTGAGGCTGACCAGACCAGAGGCGGAGGAGTTCTATGGGGAGCACCGAGGAAAGTCCTTCTACTCCTCACTGATCGAATACATGACGTCAGGGGAGGTCCTTGCTCTCATCCTCGCAGGTAAGTCAGAGGTCAAAGGTCAGACTAAGATGAACAGTCAGGGTCACGTTAGGTCTTTGAGGTCATTTGGTATCGTCAAGTTTTAATGCATAATAATAATAATAATAATAATAATAATAATAATAATAGGCTACATGTAAACATAACGTCAATATTAAAAAAAATATCGAAATTTTGACTTTAAAAACAAAAGAATCTGAGTTTTGTATCGGCTTATTGAAAGGTGTTTCCCCGCCTCGAGCGTTCGTGGACGGTGGAGTCGGATATGTCAACAAATATAGGGTGTTAAGAGAGCTTCGGCCCCTTGGTAGATCTTGACGGACTTACACTGTTTTAACCATAACTTGATTGAGTTATGTTACGAAGTTGAAATAATAATTTAAAGTGATAAAAATAGGAACATAAGACAAATAAGCGATAAAAGAGGTAAACAACGAATGACGGACTATATACATCAGGGAATACTCTACGTTTAGTGAAGAAGAAAATAAGTGAAACAATGTTGACAACTAAATATGGTGATTTAATTATTGTTTTGTGATTGGTTAATTGACTGGATGTCTTTCTTTAATAATTAGACAATATGGGTGATTGGAATTCTTTCATTAATAATTATTGACTGATTGAAAATATTCCTCCAATCACGATTAAAACCCTTGGTGATTTGGGAGTTTTTCCTTAGTTATTAAGCGAAATGACTGATTGGAAGTCTGCATCTAATAACCTTATGGCTGATTGTGAGTCGTTTACCAATCACTGAATGTTATGGTTGATTGTGAGTCGTTTACCAATCACTGAATGTTATGGCTGATTGTGAGTCGTTTACCAATCACTGAATGTTATGGTTGATTGTGAGTCGTTTACCAATCACTTAATGTTATGGCTGATTGTGAGTCGTTTACCAATCACTGAATGCTATAGCTGATTGTGAGTCGTTTACCAATCACTGAATGTTATGGCTGATTGGAAGTCTGCATCTCATCAACATATGGCTGATTGGAAGCATATCTAATCACCACTCAAACAATCCCTCACGGTGTCAATTCCCCCTACAGGAGACGACGCCATCACCCACTGGAGGAAGGTCTTGGGGCCCACGCAGGTCTCTAGGGCCCGCGAGGAGGCCCCTGAGAGCATTAGGGCCCGATTCGGTGACCCTGACAATGATTCAAACAACGCAGTTCATGGCTCAGACTCAGTCACTTCAGCCCAACGAGAGATCAAGTTCTTCTTCCCCGACTGTGAGTAACTAGTGAGAGAGAGAGAGAGAGAGAGAGAGAGAGAGAGAGAGAGAGAGAGATTAAACAAAAAGAAAAACAGAAAAAGACGAAAGCAAGGAAGGAGTGTGATGGGAGGAGAGAACAGATGGAGAGAAAGAGAGAGAGAGAAAAAGAGAGAAAGAGAGAGAGGGAGAAGGGGGAAGTAAATAGGAGGGAAGGGTGTGGAAGAGGAGGGAGGAAGGGTGGAAAGAGAGAGGAGGGGAGGAGAATAACGGAAGAGGGAGACTGAGGGGGAGAGAAGGAGAAGAGAGAGAGAGAGAGAGAGAGAGGTTGAAGAATGAAGAAAGAAAGAGAGAGAGAGAGAATGAAGGAGGGTGGGAAGTGAAAGAGGAGAGTAAAAATAATTGAAAGAAAGAAAGAGACAAAGAAGTGAGAGAAAATGAACAAGACACCAAGAAGAGAGACAGACAGACAGACAGACAGACAGACAGACAGAGAAACAAACAAACAAACAAAAAGACAAACAGGCAGAAAAACAGATAGACAGAGAGAAAGAAAGAGATAGACAGAGAGAGAGAGAGAGAGAGAGAGAGAGAGAGAGAGAGGTATACAACCAGACTCATGTAAGTGGCCAATAACTTTGCATAATTCATTGTGTGTACGTGTTTTAATTAAAGGCATGTGTGTGTGTGTGTGTGTGTGTGTGTGTGTGTGTGTGTGTGTGTGTGTGTGTATTTATTCTGTACTGAAATACACACACACACACACACATTCCTTGTTGCTTATTCGTGATTTATTTTTACGTACAGTACATATCCCCACGTACACAATCCTTGACTGGCATGTACGTGAAACTACCCAAAGCAAAGACTCTCCGGCGTAAAATTACCTTACGTACATAAACTCTCATTAGTGTACATAAAAGTGTTCTATGCAAACATCCTTAATTTCATGTACGTAAAATTATTCTGTACAGTCTTTAGTTCACTGTGAGTAATTTACCTCCTTATGTAGACAGTTCTCTTCTTCCTCCTCCTCCTCCTCCTCCTCCTCCTCCTCCTCCTCCTCCTCCTCCTCCTCCTATCCTAAGCCTGTGAAGGAGGGTAAAGGTGCCAACCCACATTCCTCTCTGCGGTGGGGGAAGGAGGGGTGGTAGGTAAGCCTGTCACGGAAGATCGAAAATCAAGGCAAAATCAATTCATGATGAGAGCGACTTTACTGGACAACATCGACGTCTCCTCCCCCATTCCCTATTCATTCTCCCCCCATTCCTTGAGCATCATCTCCCGGCCCCACAACCTCCTCCCCATTCCAACCTCACCTCCCCATTCCTACAACCTCTTCTACCCATCAATATCATATAATATAAGTGATAATTTACTCCCCTACAAGAATAATTTATGGGTAATAATTGGGTTAGTAATTCGCCTCTTAATTAATATAATCGTTCTTCAATAATTTACACCGATTTGTATAATTGGTCTTGTAAGTCGATAATCTGTATAAGTCTTTGTGATTATTGGAATGGTGGGAATAATGATAATCTATAATGATGATAATAATAATAATAATAATAATAATAATAATAATAATAATAATAATAATAATAATAATAATAATAAAACCAAATAACAGATTACATGCTAAATTATTATGATAACTTGGGTGATACTTTTTATATAATATTTTGGGGATTATTTGGATGATAATTTCTTTGATAATTCAGATGGAAAAGTAAACATCAATAAGAATACTAACAAATACATCAACACAACGACAATAACAACAACAATGATAATACACACACACACACACACACACACACACACACACACACACACGTAAATTAACTTGTAGGTCAAATTAATGGGAATAAAACAGAGAAAGTTATCGACAGTGACCTATAATTATCGACAGTGACCTATAATTATCGACAGTGACCTATACTTATCGACAGTGACCTATAATTATCGACAGTGACCTATAATTATCGACAGTGACCTGTAATTATCGACAGTGACCTGTAATTATCGACAGTGACCTATAATTATCGACAGTGACCTGTAATTATCGACAGTGACGTAATATTTACTATTTTAGGAGGATTATAACGTCATATCGTTAAAAAATATATATTTCGTCTGGCTTTAAATTCGCGTAATAATAATTAATGCAAAACCACTAAATATACACGACTGTTAATTCACGTTTTCTATTCGCTTTTTAGGCGTGTATTACCTCACTCCCTCCTCAAGCCTCTCACCTCTTCCTGTTACCTACTCCCCGCTCCTATGCCCTCCTTCCCCACCCCCTGAGGGGCAGCCTTACTCAGGAAAAGAGAGGGGAGGGTGTTATGACTTGATCTGTGTGTGTGTGTGTGTGTGTGTGTGTGTGTGTGTGTGTGTGTGTGTGTGTGTGTGTGAGGTTTAGGGTTAGGGTTAGGGTTAGGTTAGGTTAGTTAGGGTTAGAAGTTAGGGGTTAGGTTAGGGTAGGTAAGGTTAGCTGAGGTTGTGTTTGGTTGTGTTTGGTTGTGTTTTTTTGTGTTTGGTTGTGTTTGGTTGTGTTTTTAGTTGTGTTAGGTTGTGTTAGGTTGTGTTTGGTTGTGTTTGGTTGTGTTTGGTTGTGTTTGCCAAACTCTACAGCTTCACGGGCCAGCAGACGGTATAAAATATTGTACAGTTCAGTAATTGTAAATATTTGTTCCTACAATACACTACACAGACCATACACAGTACACCTTCGGTACTACGTAAGATAGACCGATAATTACGGCGAAATATCCTTAACAATTGGGAAGATGAGGTACTGGGGACAATAAGACCAGTACAGTAAGGTACAGTACAGTACACTATACTGTCTTTAAGACGTATACTTCAGCCCATCACTAAGCCACCACTGTAACATGTACAGGTGTATAGACTTGTCCTGTAATAATCGTTACTCAGCAACATAGTTGATCATAGTTAATAAAATACTGTAGTAAGAAACAGAGAGGACCCCCCCCCCACCCCATGACTTACTGATGACTAATCGTCAGCCGTCAGGCCTCCCAGAAGTCAGCGTTAGTTCGGTTAAGTTAGGTTAGGTTAGGGTGATTAATATTAAGGTAAAAATAAAATTGTGTTAACCTTCATGTGACTCTTAACCTCACCTGTGTCTTCTTCTACAGTGACGCTGGAGCCGGTGTTGACAGGTGAGGGAGCCAAGGAGTACCTCAGTCACGCCGTCTCCCCGACACTGGTTCGAGCCCTCACGGAACTCTGCAAGGTATACAACAGCTTGGGTTCAGGTTCATAAGATTCGGTGTTGGTTAAGTGTTAGGTCATATTCATAGGTGTTTAAATCCCTAACCTAACCTAACCATGCCTAACCTAACCTGATTTAACCTAACCATAACCGGATATACCAGTACAAATCAGTCTAATTCCTCTGCTTCTTACAGGTTCGTCCGGAAGACCCAATTGTGTGGTTGGCTGATTGGCTGCTCGTTAACAACCCTAACAAGCCACTTATGGACAACTGAACCATTCAACCAAGAGAAAAGGTGAAGTATTAAAGAAAATGGGAAGTGTAGTAGAAAATGGGATTTGTTATAGAAAATGGGAAGTGTAGTAGAAAATGAGGAGTGTAGTAGAAAATGGGAAGTGTTATAGAAAATGGGAAGTGTTATAGAAAATGGAAAATTATAGAAAAACGAGAAGTATCATAGAAAACGGGGAAAGAACTGAGATGTCCTGGTGTGTCAAAATGAACCGTCCAAAGTCCAGATTCATAATGGCTCGTACGACAGAAAAAATCGTCATAAGTGAAGATATTTGGATGTACAGTCGGGGTCAAAAGTTTACTCCCGCCCAAAATGAAGCAGCATCGACCCCAAATGAGATGAAACAGTCAATGGTAAGTCAGTTGGGAGACTCATTCCTGTGATTCAGTTTCACACCTGAGACTCCAAACAACCCGAACTACTTATCTACCCACATATAGCGTTGTAACAGCTCATTAGGTTTAGTACCAGTTTCGAACAGGAGTGTAAAGAAACTTCTCTTGACTCTCCAGAATAAATTTTAAGATTGCGTATAAAAAGACTTAATTACACTAAGACTCAACGTTAATCCAATACTTTTATTTAACACCATAAATTTAACATACAAGATCTGTGTTGTGTAGGTTAATTTTGTCTCTAAATTGAGGTTAAGTTAATGTGTCTAGAAAAGGTTGAATCTTAGTGTTAATTTTTTTAAGTTATTTTTTGTACATGTTTTTAGTTTAAACTGAAGTGAACGTGTTAAGTTATTTTTATCTTCACTTACGAGTAATTTTAAATCGTACGAGACTTTATAAACCTTGACTACGATTTACCAGCGTTTGGGAAATGTTGACCTGATGATAAATTAAGTAGATTAAATATTATTCCTATTGTTATTCAATTGGTAAATTAAATATAAATTGAGTTTTAAAGAGTTATATTTGGATGTTTTAATTATTTATATCTACTGCCGTCCAATATGGAATTAATTTTATTTAACTCTTTAATGTTGAAAAACTAGTTATGGAAAAAAACATTATTTTCTTGATTAAAAAAAATATTTGTAAGTATAATTTTTAAAACAAGGGAATCAATCGAAAGTAAATACCTGATGTATGTATGTATGTATGTATGATTGTATGTATGTATGTATGTATGTTTAGTTTAAGTAAGAATTCATATATAAGAGAGAGAACTATATACTGTAGGTGATGAGTGAACTTCTGTTTACTGAGCTGGATGTAACATTTTAATTCTTCCTTTTATCGTTAACTAATATTTAAATAAAAACCCCAAATAAGTTTTCTGTAATTTATAGAACAAATAAACATGTTAAATTTAAGTTAAAATATGATTAGCTGTAGCAACTGTTATTATTATTTTTTTACAGTTTGATATATTACAAAAATTAATTCCTGTAGGTCATTTAAAATGTGCATTATGAAGATGTTAATTTTGTATTTCGTGATTTTAACTTATTTAGGAAACAAAATTAACACTGAGACTCTACCTTAACCGGATTCGTTCACTTAACACCAATTAGGAGACAAAATTAACACTGAGACTCTACCTTAACCGGATTCGTTCACTTAACACCAATTAGGAGACAAAATTAACACTGAGACTCTACCTTAACCGGATTCGTTCACTTAACACCAATTAAGAATAACACTAAGACTCTACTGTACTTAATATTGTTTGGTGTTAAGTGAACCTCTACAAATAAGTGTACTTTTAAGACTATTTACTACGTTGTCATCCATTTAAGTGAACTGTTACGTCATCAACTACGAGTAAATATTCATCGTAGGAACCTTAGAGATTCTGATGGCTTCATTATTTTGTTGTTGTTTCTAAGGCATAATAACAAAAGTACCCAGAGAGACGGGGAAATTACGTGATAGCAGGAGGAGGAGGTCGGCATCTATTCTCTGCGCTACGGGGAAACAGACAAGTTATAGGAGGTCGGCATCTGTCCTTAAACCACCAGGAAACCAGACCAAAGTTATAGGAGGTCGGCATCTGTCGCTTAAGAGCCACGGGGAAGCAGACAAGTTATAGTCGGCATCTGTCCCTTAGCGCCACGAAACAACGAAGACAAGTTATAGGAGGTCGGCATCTGTCCTTAGCGCCACGGGGAAACAGACAAGTTATAGGAGGTCGGCATCTGTCCTTAGCGCCACCGGGAAACAGACAAGTTATAGGAGGTCGGCATCTGTCGCCAGCGCCACGGGGAAACAGACACGTTATGAGGAGGTCGGCATCTGTCCTTAAGAGCCACCGAAACAGACGTGCAGGAGGTCGGCATCTGTCATAAGAGCCACCGGAAACAGACAAGTTATAGAGGTCGGCATCATGGCGGCGCCACGGGGAAACAGGCCAAGTTATAGGAGGTCGGCATCTATTTCTCTGCGCTACAGGGAAACAGACAAGTTATAGGAGGTCAGCATCTGTCCTTAGCGCCACGAAACAGACAAGTTATAGGAGGTCGGCATCTGTCGCCAGCGCCACCGGGAAATAGACAAGTTATAGGAGGTCGGCATCTGTCCTTAAGAGCCACGAAACAGACAAGTTATAGGAGGTCGGCACATCTGTGTGGCGCCACGGGGAAACAGACAAGTTATAGAGAGGTCGGCATCTGTCGCCCAGCGCCACCGAAACAGACAGGGTTATAGGAGAATTCGGCATCATCCAGCATAGCGCCACGGGGAAACAGACAAGTTATAGGAGGTCGGCATCTGTCCTTAGTGCCACCGAAACAGACAAGTTATAGGAGGTCGGCATCTGTCCTTAGCGCCACGAAACAGACAAGTTATAGAGAGGTCGGCATCTGTCCTTAAAACCACCGGGAAACAGACAAGTTATAGGAGGGTGGCATCTGTCATAGCGCCACCGGGGAAACAGACAAGTTATAGGAGAGGTCGGCATCTGTCCTTAGCGCCACCGGGAAACAGACAAGTTATAGAGGTCGGCATCTCGCCAGCGCCACGGGAAACAAACAAGTTATAGGGGTCGGCATCTGTCGCCAACCACCAGGAAACAGACAAGTTATAGGAGGTCGGCATCTGTCGCAAGCGCCGCAGGAAACAGACAAGTTATAGGAGGGTCGGCATCTGTCCTTAAGAGCCACAGGAAACGAAAGACAAGTTATAGGAGGTCGGCATCTGTCCTTAGCGCCACCGGGAAACAGACAAGTTATAGGAGGTCGGCATCTGTCCTTAGCGCCACCGGGAAACAGACAAGTTATAGGAGGTCGGCATCTGTCCTTAGCGCCACGGGGAAACAGACAAGTTATAGGAGGTCGGCATCTGTCCTTAAGAGCCACGGGGAAACAGACAAGTTGAAAATACCCTTTAAATCTTCTCGCCTTGTACATACACGTATACCAGTCTTAGGTTAATAATACATAGCCTCGCGAACTATAACAGGGGTGTATAGATGTATAGGAGTATATAGCAACATGTATAGAAGGAACTTTATAAGAGGCTTGTGTGAGTTGTATGAATCTGTTCTTGTGTTGGATATACAGTATACTGGGGGATTCAATGACTAGGATCCTGAAGCAACCCTATTCACAAGGCACACCATTCACCATTCACTAAGTTTTCGCTTCTATTCAACAACTTCATAATAAATTACTTTTGATGTTCATAAATTTCCAAGTAGTTGTTGTTGTTGTTATAATGTATGTTGGTGAAGATGACGTCACGAACCACACTATATACGAGTTGTATTGTTTACATTGGACAAGAAATAACATGCAATGGAAGTTTTAAGTGTGTGTGTGTGTGTGCCGTGATGGTCGCTTTATCACCTCTTTGTGACTTGGATACAAATGTTAATAAATATATTGATAAAGATGTGAGTATATTTATAAAGAGTAATGTAGACTAATAGTTCACGCACACACACAGCCCCATTATATATACATCCCTATTTAAATAAGTCTTTATGTCTGCTTATTGTGTTATAGTCGTAATTACTATATTACATGTATGCTGTACTGTATATTATGGAAGATGATATAACGGCACAAACTATACTATGGTTCAGTAACGCTTGGTATGAGTTCCTATATTGTGACTCGCCCGGTGAGGTTAGCACTCAAGTGAAAATTTCCTTCTCAATCCGTCCTTTTCCAATTTTTATTCAAATATATATATAGACATGAAAACACGTTATTATTATTATTATTATTATTATTATAATTATTATTATTATTATTATTATTATTATTACATACCACGTAAAAATTAAAGCTCGTTGTGATAAGCGCAGTACTTTATTATTATTATTATTAGTAGTAGTAGTAGTAGTAGTAGTAGTAGTAGTAGTAGTAGTATACGAAAGACAGGCATGCAAAATTCGTTATGGCATTTCTTTTTTTAAATTTTCATGTATATATTTGCTTTTAGAACAAAGAGACCACTTTATCCTCCACAGAATTACGAGCTTATAAAATGCTCTCATGACACACTAAGCTGTAACCCATTCACGGGTCGTTTTTAGGGGTAAATTCTTGTATTTTCATTAAACTTGTAAGTATATATGTGTTCAGATAATACACACTAGCATTACATTATCGTAAGTGAGGTATTTTCATCTATCATCGGATTGTAAGTTGATCATCTTACGCGAACGCTCTGTTATTGTTTACATATGAAGCGTTCACGGATGCCCGATTTAATGGTTGGCAATAGGAAAAAACAGATAATTATAAACTAAATTTTGCTAACTTCTCTACAAAAAATTCCGTGAATAAATGAACTCGGTCGAGAATTGTGTTTTGTTTTTCACAGCGAGAATTACCTGATTTTTTTTCACGATTTCAAACGAACGTCAAACATTCCTCCAATATATTGATTCGTTTTGCCAGCTGATGTGTGATGTTAGGAGAGGGAGATTTACCCTATAAAATCGTCTGTAAATTCGTCATAGAAGGTCAAATTAGTTTAACAGACGAACACAGTGCAAGTATACACACAACGACAAAAACATTAGGTCGGTTAAATTAGAAAAAAAATTAACTGGAGTCAACCAAAACACATTAATTAACA